GTGTGTGTGTGTGTGTGTGTGTATATATATATATATATATATATATATATACATTTTTTAATGTAATCTGCTTCAAGTTATTTCTGGAAAAATGAGTTAAAATTAATTAATTAAAATTTTTAAAAGCTACTAATCTGTCTCTCTGTGTCTCTCTCTCCAAGAAGTCAAGTATTTTGTCTTGACAACATCCTGGTATTCCTACGCAAAGGCCCACACGGTGAGGATCTGAGGCTTCCAACTCATGGCTATGTGTAGAGCAGAATACCCAAGCTCTGCTCAAGTCTTTGGATTATTACAAGACCAGTGGACAGCTTGGCTTCAAATTCATGATTGTCTCTGAACATATAGCTAAACTGTGCCTGGATTCCTGAGTCTCAGATACTGTGTGAGATTAAAAATGTATATTAAACTGTTAAAATTTGGGAATAAGTTATTAGAGCTATAAATGTATAATACACATTATCTTTGGCATAATTACAGCATCTGCAAACCATGTATTTGGGGCTCTCAGTTTCCATTACCAGCTCTAGCATTGAAGGGGTTGGGGGTTGTTAGAGATAGCTATTGGCCATGGAGGCCATTTTTCATCATCATCTTTTAAAACATACTGTTAGGAAAAGATAGTAGGATTTAAGATGATCCTGACTGAAAATTTCCCAGGAGAGCTAACTGGATTTCCTCAGAATGGGGATGAAATTGGTAGAAATAATTTTTGTCAATACTATGACTTTTATTTATGGTTCTATGGTTCATAGCAAAAATCATTACCCACAAAGCCTTTATAAATGGCTCAAAGTGAAAAGCATCAAACCCACTTCTGAACTGCTATAACAGTTTGCTTCTCATAATATGAGCCCTACTTAGCCACATCATTCTCCATGTATTGCCCACCTTTGCCCACTAGCTGTCAAGTCTTTGGAAGGCTGAGGTATGTTTCTTTTTCATCTTTATATCACCTTTCCTTTTGCCTCCAGAACTATGTGTGGCAGCTCAATAGACAGCTGTTGAATTAAACTTCCAGGCACTTGACACATAAATCTTCTGGCCATCTTCAGCCTCAGGGATACACATCCCCACTTGCTAGGAATGGGCTCTACCCTGAACTATATCCCCAGTCCTCTTTGTTCACTTTTTATTTTGAAACAAGGCCTCACTAAGTTGCCAAGATTACCTTGGATCACTCTCTCTTTAGCCCACAAAAGCCTTGAATTTGAAGTCCCCCGTCCCAGCCTCCCAAGTAGTCATGATTGTAGGTCTGTGCCATGAGGCAAGACTCTTTATTGAAGCAGGTGATACTCTGCTGCCATCTTCCCTGGTTTGACCATACCTCCCAACAGTTTAGTTTGGCTGAGAGACATTTTTTGAAGAAGATGATGACAAACAGACGACAAGCACCAAATGCAGAGCAAACTAGGATGGTGATAGACATGAGGAAAAGCTGGGGTGTTGGATACCTGGATAAGGAAATACTTTGAGGAGATGTGCTGGTACTACTCATGGATGAGAGAAGGTTGTCGTGAAGAAGGCAAAATTATGATTGCTCTATGGGGCTGCCAGGTTAGAACCAGGGGCAATGGGAAGAGACTCCAGGACAACCATGCAATAGCAAATCACAGCTAGTATTTACAAAGCAATGGCTCTAAAATGGAGATGATATTATTCTCATGTTTATAGGTGGGAGGCCTTGGAGTCCATGAAGTTTAATAAACTTTACCCAGGTCACAAAGCTCACGTGGAGCTGGAAGCATCAGTAGTGAACACAACTGCCTGACTATGAAGCCCAAGGTATTAAGCATTGCACTATCCCATCTTCAGAAAAGGAAGACTGCTGTAAGAATCAGAGAGGTGCTGGCATGGTGGTGCATGCCTTTAATCCCAGCACTCAGGAGGCAGAGGCAGGCAGATCTCTGTGAGATCTAGACCAGTTTGATCTATTTAGGGTGTTCCATGCCAACTGGGGCTACAAAAAAAGTCAGAGAAGATCAGAGGCTGAATGCTCTGCTTCATGGAATGGTGGGTGAATGTTTTCCCCTGGGAAGTTTCAGGCAAAGGCAAGTGACTTCCTCTCACTTGATAGAGAGATGAATTGGCAAGATGTTGCTTTCCTGGCCCCAGTCCTAAGACGCCTTGATTCTGGGTGGGAGCCAGCAATCTGGAAGCTAAATGTAATGGCATGTGTCACTAACGCTCCCAAGGGTTTTATCTCTATTTGGAACCAAACAACTGTAGTGATGAATTCAGTAGCGTTCAGTCTCTTTCTGAGCAGCAGTCGCCTTCCAGGCAGTGCAGCAAGCTGAGGAGAACAAGCTCCAGTCTCCGAGCAAGGAGACCTCCTCCAGCTTCAGAGCAAGCAAGAGGCAACATTGATACCACGCACCTATTGCTGCTCTGATCTGCTACATGGAGTTTAGTTAGTTCTCAGACTTAAAGGTTATTCTGTGAATTCCAATGAGCTGCCTGCCAGTTCTCCCTCTTTTCCTGGCAGCCTTCCTTTCTCTTTCCAACAACAGATTGATCTGCTTACTCACTACAACATAGGCATGAGGGAAGATGTCAGGGTTTTATCACCTGCATTTTTATGTGTGTATGCCTCCTTCACAAAACACTCGCGATGAGCTTAATTTTTTTCCCAGTTGACCGCAGGGCATCCACTTTTCAGCCAGAGCTGCAAGTTTGCCATCTGTCACTTAACCTGCTAATTTGTTCACATATTTCATGGCATTGTGTGTGTGTGTTTGTGTTTGTGTGTGTGTATGTGTGTGTGTGTGTGTGTATTTGTAACTTTAGTTTGAAACTCAAGGCTCTGAAAATACCCTTTCCACAAGACGGTGCAATTTATCTTGTAGACAGGACAAGGAATGCTTGCTGTTTGATTGACAGCAGAAAGCATGTCTGACAGACAGACAGCTTGCCTCTGTTGATGCTGGTTCTACAGGACTCTGGCTTTCATCTTCAAGAAAATACCCGATTAAATTCTACACACTACTTTCCCCTTCTGCCAAAGGAATGGAGCATGGCTGTTTCAAAAATACCTCCTCCATTTTCAAGATCAAAGCTGCTTTGTTTTGCTATTCTTTTATCACTCTCCCTTCAACCACTCTTTTAATACAGGGAACAAATTTCTTTTAATTTAATTTTATTTATTTTAATTTTATGTGTATGAGTGTATTGCCTACATGTATGTAAGTGCACCTGTGTCATTCAGTGCCCACAGGGGTCAGAAGAGGGTGTCAGATTCCCTGGAACTGGAGTTATGGACTGTTGTTAGCTGCCATGTGGGTGCTGGGAATTGAACCTGGGTCCTCTGTGAGAGCAGTCAGTTCTCCTAACCACTGAACAATCTCTCCAGCCCCCAGTATAGGGAACAGATTTCTCCTCAGATTTGTGAGCTAATGAGAAGCCTGGAATTAGCACTGTGAAAGAAGTCTACACGGGCTCCTAATCCACTTCTAGAAAAACTGTAGAGCAAGGTCAGTTAGTTCTTGTGATATGCTAGAGTAACAAGTTAGAGAACCTCAGTGTGGTCTTGGTGTGTTTTGTTCAGAAGACAAGTGTAGAACCATTACTTCGGTCTTCAATCTAGATCATACGCAAACGATGACAGCCATAAAAGACTGAGTGAGAATATTTGAAGAGTTCCTAAAATGTCTATCCCTACTAGCAGATTCAACAAGCAAAGGGCATATGGAAGCTGGGGAGATAGCTCAGCAGTTATGAGCAATGAGTGTACAAGCATAAGGCACAGCCTAGCTTTGCGTTGAGTGAGACACCATGTCTCAAAGGAATAAGGAATAAGTGATAGTGAAGGACATCCAACATCCTCCTCTGGCCTCAGTGTGTGCACACAGGTGTGTACACTCCCGCTTCATGTACACATGCATCACTGACAGATACACACACAGAGACACACACAGACACACACACAGAGAGAGACACACACACACACAGAGGAAAAATAGCACATTTGGTCTTTGTCTATTTTACTCAGAACCTTGGCTCACAGTTGTTTACAATTAACCTTCATTCCTATGTTGTTCTGCAGTTTCTGGCCTGGTGGTTTACCAACATGTAAAGGTATTTGATGGGGTCTATAGCATTAAAGTTTAGCAGTGACTGTGTTCAACTAGTTCGTGCAGATGAAAATATAAACCCAAGTGTGAATATGTACGTCAACAAATAGTGTGTGCGTACAATGGATACTGTAAGAAATGCTGCCAATCAACGCTTGCTATAGACATCACCAACTAGAAATAGTTGTGTTACCTTACTTGTGATGCTGATTCCCTCTGAGTGTGGGAGAGTGCTGTGTATTAATTTAATGACCTCTAACATATAACTACTGCTTCTAATGGCCCCCTATTGATTCATTGGAGCAGGGATCTCCTGGAGTATTTGTCCCCTTAAATTTTTGTAGGTGGGATTGTTTTCCACAGCCATTAAAGCCTTCTTTGCTGGAGGTCTAGCTAGCCACAGAAAAGCAAAGATGCAACAGTTACCTTGCAAAGTATTACAAATGGCAAAAAGATACATGAAAAAGAGCCTCACAGGTCCCCAGGCAAAAAAGGCAAACCCCCAGGTGAGACCAAGTAAAAATGTCAGGCTTATTATGCCTTTGAGGTCACTCAGGATCATCTTCCGCCGAGTCTTCTGGCTTTGGGATTTCACAGAATTCAGTTGCACAAGAACAGTGCAGAACATGGACAGATTTGTGAGAAATATGAGGCAAAAATAAGCTACCACCGAGATGTAAAAGATAGGATCATCTTTAATCCAACAACTGCAAGAAACAAAGAAAAGACTATTGTGAGGCTGAGGTAAGAAAAGAGGAATGCCTACTTTCTGGGTACTGTGAAGGTTACCTACATTTCATCTAACGACACCTAGACCTGGAGAGATGAAGCAAGATAAAATTCGTTCATACCCACTGGAGGCAGAGCTAGGCTAGAACCCTATTCTCCTGAGCCCTGGTTCTGGGTATTTTCTAGAAGCCTATAGGATATCTCTGCTTTAAATATACAGAAAGCTCTCAGCCTATTTCCCCGAGAGACTATTCTCTTCTTCAACAGCAGGAAAACAAATTATGTATTTTTCCCCAAAGTGCTTCTCCCCACCCCTTTAAACCAGAGCTTTTATTTGCAGGACGAATTCTGGTTTGCATGATAAATATCACAATAAAGGGAGATGAGCAAGGAAGAGCTTTCTTGAATGCTCTATCAAACAATGATGAGATGATCAGAGTTAATGAAACTGCGACAAAAGGAGGCCAGCTCTGGTTGTCCTGCTTTAAAATACGATGCACTTTGACTACAAAAGGTAACACTGGCTACTGGATGGCTTAATGACCCTGCAGCTTCTATTAGAGAAGAAATGGTTCGTATGAACAGATACTTCATTTAATGTTTCCAACTACTAGAAGCACTGCTTCTGAGGTTCGAACAGATGGAAGCTCTTTCTGAATTTAGAAAAAATCCTTTTGGATATGTTGTGTATAATTTATATTGCACACATATTGATGTGTGTAATTTCATGTGTGGGGTGTGTGTGTGTGTGTGTGTGTGTGTGTGTGAATTAAGAGTGTATGGGGCAAAACATTCAATTTCCCCAATAGAGTGTCATACTTAGGATTCTCAGAATATCATTTTCAACCTTGAAGGAAACTCTCCAAATGAGGCTGCACTATATTTTGGAATGCAGAATCATCTTGAAGTTATATTGATCAGTGAAAAGAGCACTACACTCACAAGCATGTTTAGAAACTATGTGAGAGGATATTCACGTGGAATTTTAAAAAGTTGATCACATAGAATTGGACACCAGACACATAATTGTCAGAGACTAGGGCGAGGTAGAAGCAAAGGACGGTTGAAAAGATTTTGGACAATGGGTACTATATTCCAAAAGGCAGGAGGACTATGTTCTTGTGTTCTATTGCACAGTGTGGTGACTATAGTCAAAAACATTGCATTGTATATTTCAAATTACTGAGGATTTTGAATGTTGGCAACACAAAGAAATGATAAATATTTGAGATAATGGATATACTAATTATTTTGATTTAACCATTACACAATGTGTAAATGGAGTCAAACATTTCACTGTACTCCATAAACAAGTACAATTATCTGTCAAAATTAAAATAACCAGCCAGGTATGGCAGCTCAGACCTGTAATGCCAGTACTCTGAGAGGGTCAGGCAGGAGGATTGCTCTGAGCCTGCAGTCAGCCTGGGCTACACTCTGAGTTCCAACACAGACTGGGCTATATGGTGAAACATTATAAAAATATAATAAAATAATTTAAAAATTGAAATAAACAAGCCAAAAAATACATGCTAGTAAATATTGTAGTATGAGTTACCCGAATGGAAAGAAACTGTGTAGCTGGGTGTTGGGATGGGGCTTACTTTTCAGCCTCTACCCTTTTGTACATTTGGATTTTGTACCCTGTGGTGAATTACCTTTCAAAGTATAATTATTTACAAAACAAAACTCTTAGAGCCATCTGCCTCTCGCTAACAATTCCACATAGGAAAAGGTTCTTTAGGGGGAAAGCTGAGTTGATTTTGTTCTGGTTTTGTTTTTGCTTTTGATCTTTGAAGAAGAATCACTACTAGGCAGATACTGGGAACCTTTTAAGTCACAAAACAGGCAAGGGGGGAAGACGGGAGGAGGAGACGAGAAGAAAGGGAGGAGAAAAGGAGAGAGAAATAAAGAATAACAATGAGTTTTAATTAGAAAGCATCTGCTGCAAGGGGCAATATAATTTTGACTCTCTGTTCACTGTCATCTCAATATGAAAGACAGGAGAACAGAAGCAGGAGATCCTATATTTGATCCCAGTCCAGTGGGAGAAGAAAGCTATAGTAGACATGATCTTGAGAGGCAATGAAAAATGGAATAAATATGGGGAAATTTAAAAAATTGTGCAGCCTGAAGGATTACACAGCTGCAAACAAAGGTTCCAATGAGATGGACTGGAATGAACAGGTATTCTTGTGGCTGTATTTGAGTGACTGTGACTGTTTGGGCAGAAAGGCTAAGGCTGAATTCTTCAAAAAGCCAGTGTTCAGACTAAGCCACGGGCCAGGAACATCCCACCACACCTAGAGCCCCACAACGTGAAAATCAAGGTTGGTACTTACAATGGAGTTGTTGGGCTCAGAGTTCCATACAGATCTTTTCTCACACTGAGTATCATGGCCACCGTAATTGCTGGGATTCCTGCAGTGGGAAAGCAAACCAAAGGAGCCTGTTAAATCTAGGGGGAGGGATCCTGATCAACAGCTGTGGGGGCTGATATGTTAAGATACTGATTAAATAAGCCACAGATGTGCGGGCATCAAAATACCATTGTTTGCAAAATGTTTGTGAATTATTCCAAGTTAAACATTTCTAAGAGTTCTCCAATCTGCTAAACTAAACAGTGTGCCAATGGCTCCAATACAACGCCCACTAGTTATTAAAATAGCTCAAGTGCCAAAAAATCAACTTGGCAATGGAAGTACATGGCTCATCAGAATGCAAGTCCACATCAAACATTTCTTCTCATATGATGGGTCACCAAATTTTCTCCCTTTCAATACTGCCCATGGGTTCTCACTATCTCTTTGTCTAGGTCACCTTGGAGGAAGGGCACAGGCACTCAGCTATAGCCATCAACGCTTCTTTGGACAGGCAAGCTGTTTCCACACTCATTACTAGTTTGACATTTTGACTAGATTGACCAGTTAACAACCACTCAATTCAGCCACACTATAATAAAACAATCAACTCAGTTAAAACGGCCAAACATGATGTGAGTACAGACACGGGCTTTACAAATCCAATTTCATGTACAGTTGCAAAACTTAACTGATTTATTTCTAAAAGTGCATTTCTCCTAATGTGAGAACACACACCCACATATATTTTAGGAGGTGTGTAAAATACTTCCCAGAGCTGTGCCAACCCCCACAGTGCCAAGCATCTTGAAAAGTCCTCCACTGTCCTATTCTGTGATAAACAGATCAATCCCTTCCAGTCTGAGTAGCCCACAGTGCCTATCATCATGCAGATGTTTTTAAAAATACCTTCATGAGAATGAAAGCAGAAACAGGTCTGTTGGTGGGAGGAAGAAGACCAGCAAGAGAGGGGTAGGAAAGGATAGGAGAGACTATTGGAAGGTTGGAAGGAGAGCAGGAAGAATAAGAACAACGTATAATGACATACATGTATGAACGTAAAATGAAACCCATTACTTTGTAAGCTAGTCTTAAAAAATACTCCCAGAATCTGCAAGAGAGGGATGGAAGGAGGCCTCATATTTAGGATTGAATTATGTGGCAGTACTCAGATTTACATATTCATAATTTTAAAGAATTATCCCTACTGGGGCCAGTAAGATATCTCAGCAGGTTAAGGCACTTGCCTCCAAACTTCATGAACTGAGTTTGATTCCTAGGACCTACATGGAGGAAGGAAGAGCATAGATTCCTGAAAGCTGTCCTCTGACCTTCACTTCCTTGCCCTGGAATGTGTGCACCTACAACACATACACACACATAATAAAATAATTCTCCTTATTGCTTGCTCTAGTGGTTTTTAAAAATTATTTATTTAATGACAACATGATTAGAAGAAGCATTTCATTACAACAGCATTGACATATTCAATAATGATTTCCAGAGCAAAGATGCATCTCTTTCAAAATTGGCTGTAAATTTTTAGGTTCACAGTTGAATTAATACAATTATACAATATTGTACTCAGTATAAACCCCCTGAGACATAAAATTGAATGAGGTTTTAACCTTTAAAAAAGATCTCCATTTCATTATTAAAATATACTGTTTCATATAGAAAAACTTATTTTTAATGTAACTAACGCTTAGATGTTTACACATGTGTCTCTAATCTCTATATATCTGATTATTACTAGTCATGGTTGGTTACTTTCTGAGAACCTTGGCACCCAAGCATGGATATAAAGTCATCAGGTAGATTTCAATGGTAATGTGTTTCACCTCTACTAATTAACATGAAGCAAAATTTTATACTTCTTTCTCAAATATAACTCATTTTATTTATTGATTTTTTGTGTGTGTATTTCAGATAGAACATCCCAAACAATCTTATTCATCTATATACCCACATCCCAAATAGCACCCTCCCATAGTCTCCCCCCCATCCCCCACTGGAGCCCATATATTCTGTTATCCCTGTTACTACCCACTATGTTGTCAGTGCGCCCAGCTGTACCCCAGTGCTTGTCCATCTGCTGAGTCTAGTCAGCCTATCTAGAGTTCCTTGTTTTAGGAAGATCAGCTCTTCCTCATCTACCAGCAATCAGGTGCCAATATTCCTTTAGATAAGATTGGGGTCTGCTGTTCATTTTCCCAGTTCTATGCTGGGTTACTGTCTGGGAGTCTCTTGGGTTTTCTAATCTCTATATATCTGATTATTACAAGTCACAGTCTGGCGTTTTTTCATTATACCTTTAGTTATACACTTGGACTCTTAAAGAATTATACTGATCACTTTAATATTTGGTTATACTTTCCTTTTGGGTGTTTAAGACCATACAGTTGGCCCAGACAAACCATTTTATTTTTTACTCTTAAGGTCATTTGAGAATCTGTTCCTCAGGGGTCACATGGGCTTGGAAGGAGCCCGTGGCTCCTTTCTTTTACCAGTTCCATCTATGTGAAGACAAGTCAAAGGTCCTGCTCGATCGTCACTGGCTTCACTTGGAACCATGGAGGAATATTTCCTCTGTGTTGACCCTCCTCTTTGTAGACTGGACACTGGTTCAAGTCCATCTGGTGGGGTCTCCATGGCCTCCTTAATCAAGAGGAAAGGTGACTCACTACAGTTACAGGACACTTTGAGAGATGCTCATAGTCCCCTGAAACTTAGTCGACCTTTGAGGCCAAGGAGCAAAAACTGTCCTTTAAGTCCCTCTGACCAAATTAGTATAGGCCTCAAAGTATGGCTGTTAAACATCCAAGAAGATTAGTTCCACCAGACTGGTACTTTTAATTACCATGTGATATGTAGTGATGGGTAAAAAAAAAACAAAGGTTCGCAGATAAACCTTGCCTAGACATATATTATATTCCTTGAGCTAGTTATATGTATAATTTGTCAGTAGGTTGTTGGATTAATATGGTTCCTTCTGTTTTTTTTTTAAACTAACTGGGCATTATTTATCTCTTACAGTATCACACTGCAGACCTGGCTAGCCTAAAGCTCATTATGTTTCTTAGAATGGCTTTGAGTTTATGGCAACCTTCCTGCCTCAACCACCTAGTCTTGAGGTTATAGGCATGAGCCACCATGCTCAGTGATTAGTTTTTTGTAGAGACACATTTATTCAGCATCACGATCAGACTATTATGTTTAGCAATCAACAGCATGGGTGAAAAAAGTCTATTTAAAACACTTTGTTGGTATGCCTTATACTTTCCACAGAACAGAAACTAAAATAACCTGTTACTCAATTAGTCACAGAAATAGTCCTGGAGTATTTTGCCCATACACATGAGTATCGTCTAAAACATGTCTTCTTTGTAGCAGCTCGTCCCTTCCACCACTGTGCTTGGCTGAGTTCACAAATCTTTGTAACCTGTAGCTTCCCTGTCACTTCTCTGGCTCTCCTCTCCTGCTAAGCTTTGTTTCCTGATGGTAATTAGAACCTTCTCCCCTGCCATAGCTACTGCTGCTGCTGGAACCACCATAGCCACCTTGGTTTCATGGTTCAGCAAAGTATTGTCCTCCACCACCACAAGGGCCAGAGCTTCTGCCTCCAACGTTTCATCCCTTCATAGGTCCAAAATTTGAAGACTGTTGTAATTGCCAAAATCATTGTGGATTCCACCACCTCCAAAGTTGCTTCCATCATTACCAAATCCATTATAGCCATCCCCACTGCCTCCATATCCACCACCACCACCATGGCTGCCAGCAAAGCCACCACGACCACTTAAGTTTCCTCCATGACCAAAATTGTCATTGCCACCAAAACCATGTCCATAACCACCACCAAAGTTTCCAGAACCCCTTCGACCTCTTTGGCTAGACGAAGAACTAGCCATCTCTTGCTTTGACAAGGCTTTTCTTACTTCACGGTTGTGACCATTCACATTATGGTATTTCTGAATGACAATCCTATCAACAGAATCATGGTCATCAAAGGTGACAAAAGCAAAGCCCTTCTTTTTTCCCACTGCCTGTCAGTCATGATTTCAGTCACTTCAGTTTTCCCATATTGTTCAAAATCATCTCCTAGGTGATGCTCTTTATTCCCTGTCTTCTTTAATTGCACCAACAAAGATCTTTTTCACAGTTAAGTGGGCACCTGGTCTTTGAGAATCTTCTTGTGACACTGCTCTCTTTGGTTCCACAATGCTTCTGTCCACTTTGTGTGGCCTTGTGATCACAGCTGCATCCACCTCCTCCACGGTGGCGTAAGTGACAAACCCAAAGCCTCTGGAGGGCTTGATGTTTGGATCTCTCATGACCACACAGTCAGTGAGTGTTCCCCATGGCTCAAAATGGCTCCTCAGACTCTCATCGGTTGTTTGGAAGGTCAGCCCTCTGATGAAGAGCTTCCGCAACTCTTCTGGTTCCTTAGGAGACTCAGACTTACACATGACAGCAGAAGACGAGAGCTTTCAGCCATGCTTCCTCAGCCATGTCAACGGGCAGAAAGGTGGGCGATTAGTGTTTATAAAACATGGACAAATCTACTTTTTTGGAGAGATTTAAAATCATAAACCTTTACAATAGGTTGCTTTGGCATTATAAAGGCAGAGGGTCAAACCTACGTATATACTAGTATTTCCTTTTCTTCCAGTTGATCGTACAATATCAGAAACTCCCTGCAGCAGCTTAGCAGTGGCGCCTCAGGACCTTGTGCATATCCACATAGGCCATGCTGGCAAAGGCTGGGATCTCAGCTTATCTGAATTATGACAGAATGCACTGTGGTCCTCCATGAATGGCAGAAGACAAGAGCCTGGGTGATGCCATCTCTTACTTTCCCTGTTTCCTCTGGGAGGCTGTCATGAGACACTTTCTCATCATCTCCCTGCCCTGTGGAGGTGTGGAGCTTCACACCTTTCCCCTCAGAACAGAGCTGCAGAGAATAGCACATAGCTTCCATTTAGAATGGACTCTTCAGCCGTGGAGAATCCCACAATTCCCACAACAGTCATTTGTTCCCTTTTGCTTGGGTGTTACTCTTTTAGTGCATAGGATGAGAAGTTGGGATTGGGCTCTTTTCACTGCTCTCTCATCCATTGTCTTTGTAAATAATAAACTGTACCTAAGCATGGCTCATTGTATCTTTCTTAGTTAGTCACTCACACCTTGGTCCTGGCTTTGCCTTGCTTTGTGAATATATTTGACACTTTTCAAGATCCTCCTGCATCCAAGCACAACCCCTACCTTTTCTGCCTCTCCCTGTACTCCAGGAAGTATGTATACAATGTGATATTCAGACACAAGAAGCAAGTCTCAAGGACCAACACCACTTATGGAGTAAGGGAAGGAAAAAGAATCTGCAAAGGGAGATGCAATGTCTGATTTTGGCTCTGTTGCTGATGAATTCTAAAGTATGCAGAAATAGATTTTCAAATTATACCTTGATATTTGTCTATCTTGTCTCCCCATATTAAACAGATAATAGCACTTAATGCTTGTCCAATAAAAGTATATCCTGTTTAATGAACTTACTAAAAGCATGACTACCTAACTAGAAGCTATGGACTTCACACAAGCAGTGGAAGACAGTCTGTCTTCCTATGCAACCTACTTCATATATATCTCCTGAGCATCCAAGATGCCTGAATAGTAAATCTGGTTTGAATACACAACAGAAAATAGGAAAATAGATGAATTGATCAAGTCAGAAGTACAGGAAAGCAAACCAGGACACAGACATATAGTACTTGCCTTGGAAGCTCGTGGGACTCAATATCCAGTGTGTGTGCGTGTGTGTGTGTGTGTGTGTGTGTGTGTGTGTGTGTGTATACACAAGAGATTGGAGAGGAAGAAAGGAAGGAAATCAAAAAGGTGTTTATATGAGGAAATATCCGCCCTGAGTTCCATTCCTGGCATCTTCCAATGGTAACAGTGATACTGACAATCAGAAGGTGTGGTAAGAGTCAAGCCATGGGGGCTGGAGAGATGGGTCAGCGGTTAAGAACACTGGTTGTTCTTGCAGAAGACCCAGGTTCAAATCCCAGCACCCACATGGCAGCTAACAACTGTCCATAACTCCAGTTCCGGGGGATCCGACAGCCTCTTCTGACCTCCGCAGGCATTGCACGACATGGGTGTACTTACCTACATGTAGGCATAACACTCATACACATAAAATAAAATGATAAAATATTTTTTAAAAAGACTCAAGCCATGGCTGGATAGGACAATAATGGCTGAGACCCGACCCGGAAGCCTCAGACCTTTATTAAAGACATTGTCGATCTCATGAACAAGCACTTGAACCAACTGGGTTTTTATAGACATCCACAAATACTGAAGTTCAAGGCACAACCAGATCTGTTCCCCACAAACATCCTAACATCCTCTGTCTTTCCCAAGGAAGCCTGTGTGGTCTCTTGTATCAAGCAAGTGTTTGGCTTCCAGCTGACTGTGGAGGGCCACAGAACCTAAAATCTCTTGAGCTCTTGGTGATACAGGGACATTTTGTTCTACTTGAGTTTTAAGAAGCAAGTTTCTAAGTCTCTTCTTTGGTGCTGTAAGTGAGGTGAGGCATCATTTTCCTTTGGGAGAGCAGTCTGCCTTCCAAAAGAAATGTCACACACTGTATGGACCTCAGCCCATCCTCATGAACCCTCAAGAGGGGTAGTATTTCCTCTTTTTGGCAGAAGGCTGATGTCTACCAGGTGGCCTGATTGATTATGCAGGGAAGTTGCTTGGGATCCTGTCCACCTGACTACAGCTCTTATTCTGTAGAGCTGCATTTTTTCCCGAAGTTCAGAATTTTTGAAATAGAGTCATGGCATATAAGCTCTGCTCATTCGAACTGTCAGTTGGACACAACCTAGAATCAGCTATGACGAGCATTTTAATGAGTTATCTAGGTCAGGTTGGCCTGTCTGGGGCGGGGGGGATTGTCTTGATTGTTGATCGATATAAGAAGACTCTGCCCATTGTGAAGACCATTCCCTAGGCAGGCAGAGCGAGCCCAGAGCAAGCAATCAAGCAAGGGTCCCTGTGTTTGTTTCTCTCTGCTCTTAACTACCTATGACGTGACCAAAATTCCTCCTAATCTTCCCCCAGTGATGGTCTGGAACCTGGAATGACAAGCTGAACAAACTTTTTCTTCCCTACGTTGCTTTTTGTCTGAGTATTTTATGATAGCCACAGAACTGGAACTACATTACACGCTATGATTCTTGTAGCAGTTTTTAGCTTAACACTAAATACAGTTGTCATAATTTTTAAGTTATTTTTACATACTCTTTTTGCTATAAATTAGTGCTAAGTTGTTTCTAGCACAATTGCAGGGTTAGGTTGCCATAAGACTATGCTGGAACAATTCCATAATTGATCAGTATCTATCATTGTTTTATGTTTGTTTCTGGTTTTGAATTATCTTACGACATATGTTATGGAGTCACTGATGTTGAACTCACAGCCAACAGCAGTGTAAATTTGTGCTTAGCTTACATACCTATTTTCTCCATGAAGCATACAAAAGCTTCTTGGGTTAGGAACACTAGTCATTATTTCAGTGCTGTGTTTCAGGACATTTTAAATAGTAAATACATAACCAGAAGCTCAAAAGTATTGAAAGCAGAACTAAGTAGATCACAGGAAGGACACGATTCATAGCCTGAGCTGCTTAGAATTAAATATGTGCTGGTCACAGCAAGAGTCACTTGAGAAGAAGGCACCACTGAAGAGTTGCCTGCTTGGGGGCATGTGTATGGGGGGATTGTCAGAAAGAGCCCATTGTGAGTGGAACCATCCTCTAAGCAGACGTTCTGAGTTATAAGAATGTTTAGACTCAGTGGTAAGAGCACTGACTGTTCTTGCAGACGACTGGGTTTCGGTTCCCAAAACCCACCTGGCGGCTAACAATCTTCCATAACTATAGTTCCAGGAGACCTGATGCTTTCTTCTGACCTCCATGGGCACTGCATGGCAGAGGTGCACTTAAATACACAGAGGCAATACACTCATACTCATACCTGGGAAGCAAGCAGGCAGCTTGAATACCCACTGCTCTCAGATCTTGACTATGGATGCTGACAAGCTAGTTCAGTTTCCCCTGCTTCTCCCAGTGATGGACTTTAACTATGACCTGTAAACTGTAACCCTTTCCTGCCCTGAATTGTTTTTCAAAATATTTTATCTATTATTTTTCATTTTATTGCATGAGTGTATTGCCTGCATGTGTGTAAGTGCACCCATGTCGTGCAATGCCCACAGAGGTGAGAAGAAACCTTGTTAATTTTATGACTACATCCCCTGGAACTGGAGCTATGGACAGTTGTGAGCCACTAGGTGGGTACTGGAAATCGAACTTGGTCTTCTGAAAAAGTAACCACTGCTCTTAACAGCTGAGCTCTCTCCAGCTCCAAAAAATAATTTAATTAAACTGCTCATCTTTCATTACTGAATTTTGGAATTCTCCTGTTGCCTTCTATGTAGAGTCAATGTATCCTAAACATAATAACTTCCATAAACAATAATAGATTCCCTCAACTAGGCACAATGCATGTAAAGGTGCTTTCTTAACAGCTGAGCTCTCTCCAGCTCCAAAAAATAATTTAATTAAACTGCTCATCTTTCATTACTGAATTTTGGAATTCTCCTGTTGCCTTCTATGTAGAGTCAATGTATCCTAAACATAATAACTTCCATAAACAATAATAATAGATTCCCTCAACTAGGCACAATGCATGTAAAGGTGCTTGCCACACAAGCCTGATGACTTGAGTTCAATCCCTAGAATCTACATGGTGGAAGGAAAGAACCAACACCACCAGTTGTCCTCCAACCTCTACACATACACTAGAGAGAGAGAGAGAGAGAGAGAGAGAGAGAGAGAGAGAGAGAGAGAAATAATAATAGTGATAAATAAAAATTAAAAATTCTGTCAAAACCAATTCCAGCAGTGGGAATTTTATATTAGTAAGTAACAGGATGACAAGTAGAGTCATTTAGATATTTCCAAAGATTATAAGATTTGGCATCATGGAAACATGGTCTTAGGCTTCCCTTAATGATCATAATTTTACTTTAGGAAAACTGACTGAACTCTTTAAAAGCTGGACAAAGGAGGT